AAAAAAAAAAACAATAATTTTGGTAATTAGTGGAGTAGTTGCCTTGTCTTTGCTAATAGGCGGAGCCTTAATAATTAAAAAAAATACTTCTTCTAAATCTTCTCATAGTCAATCATCCCATTCCAACCAAAAGCCGAACCGGCCAAAACCTCCTTCTCAACCTCCTTCAAAGCCAAATAACGATAATCCTCCTGCTCCGCCAATCATTCCCCCTTCTGGTCCTAATCAACCTAAACCAACCCCTCCGCAACAACCTCCGAAACCTAATCTTCCCAATAACCACAATAATTCCGAAAGCAAAGTTTTGGCTAATTTAATTAAAACCGATTTACGAGATGCTTTAACCAATGATAGCCGATGAAAAGTGGAGGGTTTACAACATTATTTTCATGATTATCAAAATTGATGAGGTTGAATTTATGCCACTACCACCAATGAGGAGATAAAAAAAGAGTTAGAAAAAAATCGAATTAGGAATTATGATAAAAGAAAAGATGAGGATAAGCAAACGAGTGAAATGATCTTCCCTAATGAATTAGAATCCGCCGATTATCAAGAAATATTAAATTTAATTAGTCAAATTCGAACCTTGCAAGCAAAAAAAGACCAACAAAAAAGGCAGGAGGTTTACCAAAAATTAAACAGTCAAAAAGGTTTAATTTATTGAGATGGATACGGAAAAAGAGGGAACGGTGAATATCATTCTTTCAGAGCCAAAGAAAACAGCCAAGAGTATTTTTTAGAAATTGCTTATAATCACCCGATTTTAAATAATTTTTCTTTTGATAATGAAGGATTTTATTTAACCACTGGCACCGAAAATATTCCGCTGGAAAGGGAGGGAAATCGTTTCTCAAAATGTGTCGAATTGGGAGATAAAATTACCATTACCCCATTTAATCCTTAAAATAATATTAATAAATAATGCGTAAAAAAAAAGTAATTAAACCTCATGAAATCAAGCCTGACCCAAAATTCGCTTCGGTTATCGTTAGCCGCCTGACTAATAAGATAATGAAAGATGGAAAAAAAAGAAAAGCCCGAGCAATTGTTTACAAAGCCGCGGTAATTGTTGAAAAAAAAACTTCTTTGCTCTTTTTATCTGTTTTAGAAGGAGCCTTGGCGAATGTTAGACCAGCTATTGAAATGAAAAGCCGCCGAATGGGTGCTTCGAAACAACGGGTTCCTAAAGAAATCAATGAGGCTCGGTCAATGAA